TACAGTGTAATTTCAGCGTCAACAAGGGAATTTAAGCGTAAAACAAAACACGTTGAGAACACACAACGAATTCACGTTATGTTAATACAAATTACAAATTGTAATAAAATTTAATCGAACCAAGTTTTTCAGATATTTATCCGAAACACCAAATGTTTTACGTTAATATTATATCCATGGAACATTTATGATCACAAAACCTAAATATTAGCAAAGGTATTGTAATAGATTTATCCATCCATTTTAAGTTATGCAACTTGCAATGTGTAATTGCCAAAGATATTAGACAAGGAGAAAACATCTACCAACAGTCGTAATAGATTATTTCAGTTTTACATCATGTATTTTAACGATCAATTGTGAATATTTTAGAAACATGTTCGTCAGACATATGATGTTGGTTATAAAAAAAATAGGAAATACAAAAAGTCAGTGCGATATTTCCATCATTGCCTACCCCTCATCCAACGGATCATAGGCCGCCGACCAGCATTCTCAAACCTACTCTGTCCTGGGTCTCCTTTTTCCAGTTCTATCTAATTATTGTTCATTCTTCTAATGTCTACTTCCGATTCCTGATGTAATGTGTTTTTTTGGTCTTCCTCTTTTCCTTTGGTCTTGAGGATTATAAGTTAGGGCTTGTCTTGTGAGACAGTTGAGTGATTTCCTTAATGCGTAGCCTATCCGCCTCCAGTGCTTCGTCTTAATTTCGTCCTCAGTTGGATTCTGGTTTGTTCTCTCCCACAATAGGTTGTTGATGATAGTGTTCGACCAATGGATCCTCGGTATTTTGCGCAGACAACTGTTAATAAACACTTTCTCTTCCGGATGATGGCTTAAGTAGTTCTCCGAGTTTCCACTCCATACAGTAGAACTGTCTTGACATTGATACTGAAATTTCTGACTATGGTGTTGGTTGATAGTTATGTTGAGTTGCGGGTGTTCTTCATTTGTAGAATTGCTACCATTGCTAAGGTATATTTATACACATATAATTTGATTTCTCATTCATGCAGGTCATTTTTCGTCCAGTCTTTAACAAAACGGATATACTACTCGATATTGAACCGAATATTGTAAATATCCGTCGTTCAGAATCGTTAGGTGGGGTGTTGCTAAAAAAGAATCTTGCTATTCTAGAAACTAACAATGATAATGATTTACCTATGGAATTCCCAGACCCTGGAGCTCGTTATTGGCCACAAGGATACTGTTATGATCCATTGAATTGGTTTGTCAAATTATTACAAGTAAGCAACAGTGTTTTATTACATCACTTTTCTTGTTTACTGAGTCAGCTTTACGTTAAATTATTTTTTCTTTTAAATTAGTCAGGATTTGGGAATTCTGAATTATTAACAGTGGACTAGTTGTTAAAAGAATTTAACACTTCAGGCTAAAATCGATTGATGAGTGTTCTTTATTTCAAAGTCTTAAAAGAGCGTTAATTGCTTATAGTTTTTCACTTCCTAATTGTTGTTGTTCGTCCCTTCAGAAGAAACACATTAGCTGATGATTACTGATATTGGATTAATGTATAGTTTGCCGACATTTTTTTTATGTTGTGAATTTCAAGTAAACTTAATTGGAGTTAATGTATCATTGTATAGGAGAATTTAAAAGTCTTAAGTTTATTGTAATTAAGTTGTACTATGTTTCATCATTTTATGTAAAAAATATTTTCTTCTAGATATTCTAATTAATTGTTATCGTGCATCAATTTATCAAGAGTTTTTTTTATTGAAAGAACTCTATATATATATTTAAGAGTGAATGGTTTATAATACATGAATACATGAAAATTCATAATAAATCATGAATAATGTAAAATTCATGTTTGTTTATTCACTTTTCAATGTTTGATTTTTAACTGGCTTATAAAAAAGAGTGACATTTGACTAAAATACGTCTTTGTCTTTCAGCAAATCTAAGTATTCATTTGTTTACCGATAATGTTTTTATTAGATTTTTTCTTTTTGACATCTATCTCTATTAGATTGCAAAACTTACTATACAGATTGTATTTTATACTATTAGTTTGCATTGAGAGATTCTCAAAGCCATACTTTATACAGTTAATACTGTAATTGTTTGCAGTTGGGAAATTACTCACCTTTTATTACACTTAGATTGTAGTAGCAGTGAAATTCAGGACGCGTATTTCTTTCTATCATCTAATATCGAGACAATTTATTATGAAAGAGGATTTCACAATTTTATGAACAGGTTTTAGTTTTTTTTTACAGTGAATGATTAGATTACAGATCATAGATTAAACGCAATCTTTTGATATGGCCAAGTAAAATGACTGCTTACAAGACCAGATTATTGACTGAAACCTTCGAATGTGACGATATAAAAGACGATACTACTGTCCAAAAGATTCAGTTACATATAAAAAAGTGTTCAGATGTCAACTTTGTAAGCTACGTATTCTCCCATGAATTAAGAGGTAACTGTTAGACCAAACTCTTGTTATGTGTGTAGACTTGTGTTGTGTTGTGTAGACTTGAGTTTCATTGAAATCATGGATCGATCAATGTTAGACAACCAATCAAAACCTGGTAGCACAGAACGGTCATTTTGTCCTAGTATATGACTCATCAGCAGAACTCATCCACGATCTTCGCATGCAGGAATCGAATCCAGGATCTTCTGTCTTGCGCGCGAACGCTTAACCTTTAGGTCACTGAGCCGGTAACCAACGGTGTTGATGTCCAGTGCTTTCAGGTTTCTAATTATGATTTCAGTAAGCTCTTGTCCATGATATTAGAATCTGTTCAGTATGCTAAGAGAAACTAATCATTCGCATTGCTTAATTAATCTCAACAACAGAATAACAAAAACTTCAATTAATTCAGAAACTGTTTAGATGTTTTTTTCTTATTTGGCTTGTTCTAACATCTTAGACTGTTATATAAAATTCTATGCTAATATAAAGTAATTTACAAAATGTTTTTATCTTTCGACATGGTTCCAAGTAATATTTATTTAATATTTGAAAAACAGTATGATTATTTTAACAAGATGTATTCAATATTTTTTATTTATCATGTCTCCTTTGGTATTTCTTTACCTCATCCAGTTACGTCTAGGTAGGTATTTTGAAATCCGTTGGGATCGTCATGGTGGGAATTGGATAGCTTTACGATGGCGCTCACATTTTATTCAAAAGATTGATTCAAGTGATCGAATTGCATTAGTCCAATCAACAATATTCAGTTGTGATTTATTAGATGGTTTAACTCAACATACAGCAGGTGATCAACTCATTAATTCTGATCTACCTCTTGTGTATAATGATTGTTCATTGGTGAAATTATTATCTGTATGGGCTAAGAAATTTATGAAATCACCCATCATTTATCATAACTTAACAAACAATATTAGCATAAATAAAAAACGAAAACATAACAAATCTCAAAAGAACACAATGAAATGTATGAAACATAAAAAGAAGAGAAAACTCATAAAATAATTCAATTGATGTACCGAATTATCATATGTAAATACATATTCAATTGATGTTGTATTCTATGTGTGTGTGCGTGTGCGTGTGTATATATATAGTTTATATGTATGAGTTTTTCTCTCTCCTCCTCCTCTCTCACTCTCAATTTTGATATGTTTGACTTGTTATTGATCAGTTCTCAAGTATTCATTTCGCCTATCCCTTCAAACTTTCACTTCTTTTCATTATTTTTGTGTCTCATTAAGAAGTTGACTTGTACACCGGTAGCTTCATCTGATTCATCTATGAATTATATCTGTTGGACAGTAATAGTTACTGTGATATCATAATGTTGATAAAGAGAACTGTTTTAAACATTGGATGAAGAGTTTTTGAAGAAAAACAAATCGAATTCTTAAGATAATGGAAGTTTTTTGATTGCTGTAAACACAATTAGGAACACCATCGATAAACGTCTAAGCAATAAAATTTACTGACTGGAAGTGTTATTAGTTAAATTAATCAACTTATTATATGGTTAATCTTCTTGTACAATATTTCAAGCTCAGTCAGTCAGTCAGTTACAACGTACAACTTCGTGCGTACCTACATCATTTCAGGTTGCCATACCGTATTAGCGCAGAGAGGCAACTGTCAGGTCAAATCCAATAGTGGTAGCGATTGTAGAAGTATTACTGGTAATGGAGTAGATTAGGGTTCTATGATATTATTCAAGAAATATAATTCAGTGAGATAAGTTTAGAAAGAGAAAGATAGAGATGATGCGAAATCCAGATTAGGATTTGAGAGAACACAAAGAGTGGATGCACCTGCGCCATTGCAAACGATTTTGAGCCATGTCGTTCAAGGTTTCGAACCATTGGTGACTTTCGTCTCGCGGACCCCAACCAGGTACATCTACCGACATGACTCAGTTCACTTGTCTGTGACTTCATGGACTTCTTCCATGTTTTGGTCTGGCCGCACTTACCTTTCTTCCTACTCCTACACAAAACATAGCTCATCGAGGCAGTCGGTGGTTAGGCGTACACAACACATGTCCCAACCACCTCAACTGGTGAAGTTTCAATACTTCATCTATTAATCTGCCATCCCTACATAGTACCGGTTTCCTAACGACAGCATTACTTATTCTGTTGTCCCAGAATACACGAGCAATGCTTCAGATACACTTATGATCGAAGACAAGCAACCTACTAATGTCCTCTACTCTCACCGGCCACGTTTCGCATACATATAGTAGGACGGGGCGAACTGATGCGCAGTATGTTCGTCCTTTGTTTAGAAAACGCATATCTCGTCTGCGCCATAACTGACACAAGTTGGAAAAAGTCGATCAAGATCAACTTCATAAAGATTCTGTGGGCTTACGTCAACTTGCCATTCAGGGTAACTGGAGATTGTGAGTAACTGAAGTGTGGCTGAAGGCCACTTGATCTGATCCTTAAAGTGTTATGCGCAGCAATCCAATATCCTGGATTGAGAATGAATAAGAGCCCAACCTTTATCTGTGATAGTCTCACTTACATTCGGATTCCTAATACCGGTTTCCTTGATAAGGCAGATCATCTGCCTGCTGTTACCTATCACCGCTGCCTTTTCCATCGTTCTAGCTTTCGCTACCGAATCACTGTTCACGATCATTGCGTAGGCTTTTTATCAGTCTGCGGTTAGGCTGATTTCATTCTTCATCATGTTCAGAGCCAGGTGGGATGAGTTTACGGATGTCTATCAGTTCGGTGGATGCTTCTGAGATCCACTGCTTCTTCATAGCCTTATGGTTTACCCTACTAGAAGATATCACTGCCGTCTCCACAGCCTTTTTGATATCATTTCAAGCTGCCTCCGGATGGGACTCACTCGTTTGCCTGTCTTTCTAGTTTCTCCTAAAATATATTTCTAGCTGTGCTATCATTAAGTGGAGCCCTAACAGGTTCCCTTTTGGTGTCTTTCCTACGTCCTGTAAGCCTCAAACAGATACGCGCTCAAACTAGAGCATGATCAGAATCTAGACATGTGGTCCAGAACGGGCGACAGTCCTCTATCGGTTGCTGGTTGCGATGTGGTCTAATTGGGTTCAATGTTTTGAAGGCTTTGGGGTTCGTCAGGTGAAGAGATGTTTTTTTCCTTATGCTATAAGTAGGTGGTTATCTGATCATAGCTGCAGCAGACGGTCGCCATTATCTGTCCGATTAGCCGCGACACCATAACATCCAGCTATGTGTCTTTCCTTTTCACTTAGTCTACCTATTTCAGCATTGGAGTCACTAGCCGTTATAACTATATCAGAGCGCCTAGCTTTTTGGAGGAGGTCCGAAAGCTTTCTGTAGAACTCATCTTTCACATCGTCTGAACTGCAGTCAGTGGGGGCATAGGCAGATACGACGAAAAGGCAACGGCGATTTTCCCTATCTTTCCGAGTCCTTACTGTCCCGTTTAGTCGGACAGCGCACAATCGACTGTCTACAGGGATCCAGTCTAGGAGAGATTGTTCAGCTCTACGACTCAATGCTATACCTACACCAGCAAGACCCCTAGGAGCAGCATCAGAGCTACCGGATACACGAAGAGTGAATCGGGCTGCTTCTTTATTTTGACAAGGTGAAATCAGATTCGTAATTTTACTAGGATCCTGTATGCGCGTTTCCGAGACGCAGCATACATCGATGGCGCAAGATTCTAAAGTCCTAGCTAAGGAAGCCTGTTGCCCTATTTGACATAATGTCCGTACATTAAAAGCTCCAACATGTAGTCTAGAACGGGGTTTCAAGAGACCAGTAATGACGTTTCGTGAACTCGCATCGTTTGCATTAGCGGTGCAGTGAGAAAAGGGACTGTGAATAGAGTTGGTTGTGGAGAGAAGACAGGTATGTGTGGGTGTAGGAAGGATTTGATTTTGACCAATTTGGTCTCGTGTGCTGTTACGGGTATGAGGGCGGTTGTCACTTCCCGGCTGCCCACACCGTGGAAGGTTGTTTCTTGAGGAACCTGAAAAGGAAGACAGATTAGTGTTGGTCTTGTAGACCTGGGAGCGTGACCGCAGAGCCGAAGGGACAACTGCTTGAGGCCGGTCACGCACGGCCTTTTTATGAGAAGTTTTTTGAGTGTTAGCTCCGCTCTTGAAAGCCCTTGGTGGTCACCCTCACAGCCGGAGACGGAAATACGTGAGATAGAGTGATGTGTGACATTTTTAGGGTTGACCTTTTCTAACCGCAGCATACATCGATGGTGTGAGATTCTAAAGTCCTAGTTAATGAAGCTTGTTGCCCTATTTGACACACTATCCGGACGTGTAGTCTAGAACTTGAATGTTTTTGAAGATATTTTCAATTTCATTTCATTCAACGTTTCTAGGTTAATGTTGTTTGAACAGTTTGTAGGTTCAGCTGGCAAAATCCTTATTATTAATATGTGATAGCTAAAAGTTATCTGAGACGTTTTTAAACACTGAATAGTTTGTACTTTCAGTGTTAACATGTAACCTCGATTACGATGTCACAGTGATTATTTGAGAATTGTCGCTTTTGATTATGATACATGTTAATTGGTATTGATGGAAGACGTTTCTGATCGATTATTGGCTATGAATTTTTGTCAAATAATTGAAGTTTTAGTTCATGTACTAAATTGGGATTCTTAAGTGATGTGAGTATAAACTGTTTGTTATAAAGTTGATACTGAGTGTTACTATAAATTAGTATGGACAGTACTATTAACTTATTATACGAAAGAACGTTTTGAGTTCTAATAACTCGAACTTCAGTATGTTTTACACGTCCTGTTATGACAACCTTCATGCGTATCTGTATTTACGTGTATGTAAATGTCTTCATACGAGATTTGTCAAAAAATGTCGTATTATTATGCATAAAAATCGACAATAAACATTTATAAGTTTATATTGTGAACTGCCCAGCTTCTTATTATTTCATTCACAGTGCAATCAAAGAGTGCATTACTAAAGCTATTTCCAATGTAACTAATAGTTTCTAGACACATCTATGTGTCAAATGCATTGTATTGAAGAATACCTGTTTATTTAAAGCCCTCTGAGTGGAACATTTTCGCAATTTTAACTCAACTACTTAGTAAATTGATAAAGTAATATAATGATCCTTTCGGTTTTCTAACTTTAATCTGATTTCAATTCAATGAATACAACAATTACTGCATATATGAATTAGAATTTAATTCATAAATCAAGTGAAATTTTGGTAGATAATTCAAAACAAATTTATACTACTTACTATATGATTAAATACATAATATGTATTATGATAGGAAATTTTTATTTTGTTATTGAATAAAAAAATAATAAATTTTATAATTGCCTTTATCAGAAGTTTTCATCAGATGGTTTTGTATTTCGATAAATATAAAAACAATTGTAGCCTATCGATAGATTAATCTATAGCTGTGTTTAAATTCTATTATAAACTGTTTTCCTAATATATTTGGATTATGGCCAGAAGCATTTCATCCTGTTTGGGATTCTTCTACTACATGTTCCTGGATTCCACTGTAAAAGGTTTCATGGAAATATGGATTTAGTATTTACTACTTCAAAGATCAGCACGTTATTTTCTAACCATATGTTCGGTAGGTTGCTTATGAATCGAAAGTAGCAGTTACACCTAGTAACTCCTGGAGTTTTTTTCAACTCATCCTAGTCACTGGCGACAAGCAGTCTAGTATTAGATGAATAAATCTGCGAATTTGATGACATTTCAATCAGTAATATCCGAAGGTATCTCAGATGATGGACAGAAATCTTTGAGGGACTTTGAAAACTTAACTCACGAGTAAAAGATTGCTTTCCGATGAGATTGTGAATGTGTTGACTACATTTTCACTCTAAAACAGGTAGTGAGAAATGTTTACATTTATTCAAGGCAAATAACTTCTGTTTTCTGATATCAGATTCATTTATGGTTAGCGTACAGAATTCTGCTTTGGGATTGCCTATTGGAAAAACAAGCTGTTTTAGAGGTTTGTCAACAAACTATGTAAAAATGAACCTCAGGTTTTGTAAATACGTACAACTACCCCTCTTCATCACTTCATTACAGTGGTGAGATTATGCTTGGTTATCTAGTTTCAGTATTGTTATTCAACTTTGCCATCATTAACTTTTTGGAAACAGCTCTGAAGGAAATTTGTATTGGTGGTGTAGATCTGATACTGCGAAAAATACTTTTAGAACTGTATATTCTGGATTCAAATTGCTTTCATAAGATCTACAAGTACTTGTGCCTGCGCTCATTTCATAGTGATCCATTAAAAATAGTCGAAGTGCTTGTGAATCTGGGTAGTTGTATTTTTGCTGATCCGTTGTATGACAAATGATATCAGTCCATATACAGCGAGAACCAAGGCTGATATATGATTGCTACGTCATGTTAATAATGAAAAGGTTTGACAGCGTGTGTTCGAGCTCCGTGACGATAATGTATTCAATATCACCGTCCCAGAAAACTGACTTCACTGGCTTGGTCATATTCTGTGAATGTCATCCTGGCATGTTTCATGTCTTGCATTATTTATCACTGATACGTGTGGGTAGAAAAAGCCTAGAGGAGGTCAGTTTATGACATGGTCTCATATTACGAAAGATGACTGTTTAGAACTGGAATCTATCAACCAAGCTTTACTTTTTAGGGTGTGGTCCTAGAAATGATAAGACTCATTAGCTCCATACATTTTTAGATACAGCAAAGAACAAAACTCAGTGAAACTTCTGCTCTAATTTTCTAATGCATTCTTCATAACAGTGAGATGATTTTCCTTAGTTATACGAGGTTGCTTTTATCTGTTTGTTTAACGAAATTATACCTAAAATAATCGACTGTTATTGAATGATCCAAGCTCATTTTGAATTTTAACTTACTCATCCACCAGGTACTTGAGTATAAGCGATATAATAAGTGTCAGGACTAGTGCTACCATCTGGTTACCCAAACAAAAGTAGGCGAAAGGGAGCTCGATCCTAAAACTCCGACCGATATTCTTAATGACCACTGGAGTCAACCTTACAGGTCCTACTGTTCTTCCTCATCTCAAGTTAGGTATGGCTCCCGTTTTCGCTAAGAGTTGAAGACTTGTGTTTGAAGATAACGTATTGCTGAAGCTCAGTTCAGCTGCTCTATCTTAAGTGTTTTGTAAATCTTTTAAAGTCCTTGTACTGAAATCGGATAATGGTCCTATCTTTTTCCGGAAATTTTTTACTAACACTGGATGAGTCTGAACACTTGTCTTATTTAGAATATCACCAACACTTATTAGGTATATTTTATTTCGTCGCTCATTTCCGCTCACCATTATTGTGTAAAAATTTTATTTATCTACCTTGGAGTAACTGTCGCTCTTCATTTCACAAGGCTTTTAAGTTACATGTTCAGACTTGTATCAATTCAGTAGATAGTAAAAGCCATTGAATCCAGTATTCTTTTCTGATCTTTTATTTCGGTTGGCGTTAGATATTATTGTGTACTGACGGCTATTTAGGTATCTTTCCAAGCTTTATGAATATGAATTCTTCCTGGCCTGATGCGATAGAGGTCTCATTGATTTATCACTAGATTCATTCAAATCAATATCTGTTTCGACATTTCTACATCAAATATTACTCGTTGAAATGCGCCTTCTATAATCGGTCATCTTTATCTGTCCGGTGAACTGGGATATTAAAAAGTTTTTCAGGTCGACTTAGTCTGTCAACTGGAGCACTAAGATCAACTGCCAGGATTACTATATATAAGCGTTAGGTTATCTTGACGATATTGGAAACACTCTGGTAAGACTCATCTCAAACCTATCTGAGTTGCATTTCGTGGCGGGGCATGTAGAGTTGGTGAGTTGCCAATGACATATATCTCCACCTTAATGTCTTCCTTTTGCAGACCAGTCACACTGAAGCGTTTTGTGGGTAGTTTTATGTGTTGGCTTCATACTTTTGGGACTTCACAGATATTTTTAGAGCCGACCTCTCCTAACCCCTTTCTTCTGCTATCAGAAGGCAGCAACAGTGGGTACTATGTTCAAACTAAAATATAATGATGTGGAACATTTCAGAAACACATTTTGTTACTATGTTAAATGTCGAGAAAAATGTTTTAACTCCTAATTTGGTCTTATACTCAAACCTTCATTTTGAACTCATCCTTTTATGTTATGGTAGTTAAAAGGAACTGGAAAAATTTAAAATACTCTATATTAAGTGATGTAAATTTTTCGTTGTGATAGCCAGCTAGATTTAAATGCAAGTTTTGATTCGACTAAATTCGTCACCTTAACTGTACTGATATCCCGATTCTAACAAAACACTTTAATTGGTTAGTTAAATCAAGAAATAGAATACAAACAGAAAAATTAGATGTTATGTTTATAAATTTGATGTGAGTGTTTGTCTGTCGACCTGTTTGAAAAAATTACTATCCAATCACAGTTTTATTTGGAGATTTCCTAAATATATACTGATAACCAAATGAAAATATATACTTCTTAATGGAATAAAAACTACTCGACAATTTAAGATGAGCATAATAGAGCTGCTTTTCTAAAAATTAAATCAGTTTTTTCGCATTTCATTTAAAATACTTTTTAATTGTATCTAAAACAAAATGGTCAGAGGAAGTGCACGAATTAAAGCTGGTGGTATGAATATGGGACAGGACGGTCCACAAATTATCAAACCATTAGCTTTAAATATGAGTTTGTTCCAATTTTTAAGAAGTGGTTATTTTGAAAAAGACTTATTAACTTATTGTGCTAATCGTCTTGCTGAATATTCATGTACATATTGGCTTGATCCGACAGTGAATGGAAATAGTTATTCAATGGATTCGAATTTGGCGTTTATGACAACAACAACCAGTAAGTTTTTTTTTAAAAAAGTATTTAATTCTGAAATTAAAGTAATCTGTTGATAGAATAAGTAGAGCAAATTGTAGTTTTAGTAAACATTATGTACATTTTGAGTTCACATTAGGAAATGACATCGACTGAAAAACCTTTGAAATACTTACAACTGTATCCTTCCCTAGGTTAGTACTAAATAGCAGTGTCTAATCACTATTCTGTTTAAGACCAAATCAAGCAGTCTCGTGAAAAGTCTCAAGTGAAAAGCAGTGACCGGTAGCATTCACTCATTACCAGTCGTGAAATAATTGCCTAAAATAGCTTTTAATGATATTTATACAATATTGGTAAGTGAATGAATTTGGAAGTACAAATAGTCTGGATTGTTATTGATTAGGCTACGAAGGTTCTCAGATCAATTTCACATTAGTTGAAAGTCTCACTCTTCCAGCTAGTCTCAAACTGGAATAAATGGCTGTCATGAACTCTTTGGTTTACAATTATTGACTTCTCAATGTCAGTCTATAATGATAGTTAACTTTGAACTTAAGTCTTTTTTTGAACACTTCTGTAATAATATCTTCACTGTCTGTTCATACTAAATGACTAATTCTATAGTTGTCAAACAAACGTTCAAAAAATAGTAACTCACCTCTCTCTCTCTCTCTCTCTCTCTCTCTCTCTCTCTCTATATATATATATATATATATATATATATATATATATATATATAATGCAAACCAAGGATTACTGATCAAAATCTGAGTAGTGACAATTTATTTTCTCGGTTAACCAATCAGTTCTTGCTATTGTTCACATCAAAATTAATGTTCCAAAAACCATAAAGCATTTGTACTTATTACTATTACTATGATAAACTAAGTGGAATATTGTTGTTTTAACGATTAATCAGAACACATTTAAAATCATAGAATTGAATGTTAACAATAATAATCACTTGAAATTGACTCATAAATATTTTATCATTTTGACAGTAAATAGTGAAGAGTAAACATTATTGATAGATCCATTTCTACCGAACTGTTAAAAAGTCAACTTCTAATTCATTTACATGCTCATTTACTCAATAAATAATGAGGTAGGCAATGTTATATACAACTCCGAACTAATTTCAAATATCGCTTTTGAGTCGTGTTATATGTTGCATGGAGGAACCTAATGTTTATGTTGTTCAGTGAGATTAGGCGTGATTGATAAAGAGCATTACATTTATTTTTCATGGTAATTCTCATTCATCTGAACGACATGACTCAGAATCGTTTGCAATGGCTCAGGTGCATCCACTGTTTGTGTTCTCTCTAATTCTAACCTTCTGAATTCCTCATATTCTATATCTTTCTCCTTCTAAATTTATCTTACTGAATTATACTTCTCGAAATATATCTTCGCTCCCTAATCTTCTCCATTACTGCTAATACTTCTACTATCTCTACCACTATTGGTTTTGAACTGACAGTTGCGTCTCTGTGCTAATACGTTATAGCAACCTGAAATGATCTACGTACGTACGAAGTTCTGAGTTGTATCTGTCTGTCTGTCTGTCATGTAGGCGGTAGTTTATGAGCACACACCATCAGTGTGTTGTAGTCAAAGATGTCATCACCATCAAGCTATATAAACTAATTATTCAACTTATTTAGGTTGAGATATTTGAGCCGCCAATTGATCAGAAATAAAAAGTTAACTAGATAATAGGTGTCAACTCTCATGAAATCTTGTATGTAACACTTCCAATTATTCAACAACAACAGCAAGCATTACTTGCAAATAATTTATCTAGCTTCAGTTCATATCGGTCGGTCAGTTGTCAATCTGTTTTTTCTAGTTTAAAACAATTAATCCCTTTGATAAATTTTAATCGAACTCATGAGAAGATATAATTGATCTGAACAATGTAATGCATAGTGCAAATACAACACATTTCACAGATCAATTCACGTTGTCTCATTGTTCGTGAAAGTTTATTTGCAATAATTCAATGCAAAATTTAATGAAAAAAAATTTAAAAAAATAATTATTTCTCTCACTTGGTTTTCATTCATTCATTTATTTTATGATCAGTTTTATAATATAAAATTTGTTAAATTAAAAAAAACGATAGTCAGTAATTGTTTTTTTATTTATTTTGCTCTAAAATATCAGACATTTATGTGAAAAGGGGGATAATTCATTCCCTACTTTGTCATCATCAATTATCGATCAGATAGCCTGGGAAAATATTTTATTTGATTGCAGAATTAACTAGATTTTTGTTTGAAAAAAAACAGCTTATCTCTCAATAAAATCTTTTGATCATTAGAACAACTTTCAGAATAATGAAAATGATTAAAATAATTTTTGTTTATATACACCTTAATATTATAATTCAACATTTGTATGTATTATACATGCAAGTACTTCAAAGTAAACTTCATATGAACTAACGATTATTCTGTGAGCTGAACCAGACGACTTTTTATAGAACTAATCAATGGGAAAACAATTATCTGGATATGATCATATGTTGCTAGTTACGTCAGGAAGAATTTAATGGAGAATCGTGCACTTGACTTTTTCATTTGCACAACGATCAAAGAATTTGGAATCTTATGAGAACTAATTTTCCTATTCTAACTACAATCGAGTACATTATCACTAGAACACTAAACAGTAGAGATATCCCGCTCTAAAAGACACGTTCTTTTTGCCGTCGTTCACAATGAATGAAGGATTTGATTGTGACCAATTTGGTCTCGCGTGCTGTTACAGGTATGTGGGAAGATGTCACCTCCCGGCTGCCCACACCGTGGAACGGTGTTTCTTGAGGGACCTGAAAAGGAAGGTAGGTTAGTGTCGGTCCTAGAGACCTGGGAACGTGACCGCAGACCTCAAGGGAAAACTGCTTCAGGCAGGTCAGGCACAGCCTTTCTATGGGAAGTTTTTAAAGTGTTAGCTCCGCTCTTGTTTAAAAGTCCTTACCGCGGGAGACGGAAATCCGTTATGTAAGGCGAGGTGTGACATTTTTAGGGTTGACCTTTTCTAACCCCTTCCTTGTGAAAAGGCAGCATCGCTGCAGATGCTGGTTGTCCGAGGGAAACGCCTTACTGCTGTCACACTCTTCTGCAGTCAGTAATACGACTTCCCCTCAGACCTTGAGTTGCTGCTTTTAGTCTCATCGTTCTCTAATTGACCTGCTTGTCATTGTAGAACCTATAGGAAAATATGTTCGAGCTAATATATCTCGGTTGGGTGATCACGATAGGCAAGCCCGACCACCAGGTCAAGGTAGCAGCTATGGTTGGGAACCTCGGGATTGGCGTGCATCGGCACTTGAACTAGTGATAAGGAGTGAAGTGATTGTGTTGACCGATTCACTTGTCTTGGGAGTCTCACCTATGCTGATGGCCTGGTGTGTGATGAGATACAGATACGGATACAGAAGGCTCGAATGGCTTTTGGCAACTTGAGTTATTTATGGCGTCGGTGAGAACTCCGTCTGTTACCTAAAGGACGAACCTACTGCGCAACAGTTCGCTCCGTCCTACTTTATGGCTATGAAACATGGCCAGTCAATAATAGAAGAAGCTCAGAAACAACTCGACTTGCGTCCCATGAGATCACATCGACAACGGCGATAAATGACATATTAATCTGGAAATAAATGTTTAGTTATAACCGTTTTCCTTAGTGTTTTTTCCTCATATACCATCTAATTCTAACACGGAATAATCTTATCTAATGGAATGAAAGTTGAAGTTATTGTTTAGTATTGATTCTAGGTTGTTTCATAAGGTTAGTAATATAAATATTAATGAATTGTTTTACGTTTGTGTTAGTACACTCAGAAATTGATTGTGAATTTTCAAGAATGTCTTAGCTTGCAATCATGCAATCAAGCTGTTAGTTTCGTCACTAGGTACGCTTGAAGCTGTTACGGGTTTACCTTAGTCGATAAACAGGGACGAGACAATGAATCAGCATCCAGATAGGCTACCTTGATCCGAAAATGGCAAAACAGAAGTCTCGATAAGCGTAGAAAGTAGATTCTACAAACACCCGGCAAGCACACAGTGCAATCAAGCACACAACTCTCGTTTATTTATACATCATAGAAACGTCTTTTGGACAGTCACAAATATAGCACACTAAAATATACAGCAGCCAATCACAGCCATGGATTCTCCTGGTGGTAAATGAAATCTCAAGGTCAACTGATTAGCCCATGCTCGCAAACGTGAAATACAAGATAAGGCATTTATCAAGCGAGTTCTAGGGGTCTAACGTCCCCAACACGCCCTTATCTAGTTGATTGCTAAACATGTCATCTCTGTTATGTGATAATAGTTGAATGATTAGTTGAAGACTAAGGAAATTCAAAGGATTAGATTTCTGTTACTTAGCATTGAACAAGTGAATCTTTCAAAATGACCATAATTTGTGCTCTGTATTCCAGAAGTGACCAATCACTTCAACTAGCAAATAATGTTCATTCGTAAAGGGAGAGAAGTAATAGACTTTTTAAATTATTCACTAATCCGTTCAATAAAGCCAGTAATTTTCTGATGAACGTGGGCTAATTTATATTATCATATTTGTTTTGTTCTTCAATTCTGATCTAATTCTAATGATTAAGCTTCACTGTGACCACTAGTCTAAGTGACTCGCTATTGAGTTCACTATAATAAAATATAAATTGGTCAATGGTAGTCAGTATGTAACTCAAGTCTCATGTAATTTACGGTTCAACGGCTGCACTAATTTTAGGAAAATTAATGCTCTCTGTCACATTGGAACCAGTTGTGC